TATCTGTTGTTGAACACCTGAGAAAATGTATGATAAATGGATATGCTCTGTGTGTTGAACATTGTTTACTGAAGAAAGCAGTATAGAAAAGAAAAAAGTTAAGAGTCAGTTGCTTGTTTGACATATTTGTGAAACTGGTTAGGTAGAAATTTGAAAGAGAAGTTTCATGAAGTATAGTTATGCATTATTTGTTTACAAGGACTACTAAAAAGACAATATACGCATTTTGTGGTCTTTGAACTAGGGTTATAAATTGTAGAGAAAATGTATCATTTACTGTTCTGTGAAAAAGAAATGGGAGATTTTAATATACTAAAGTATCAGTCAAAATATCTCCATGGCATGTGAAATATGTAAAAGAATGGATAAAACTCCAAACAAGTAACAAAATAGACTCACGTGAAAGACCCAATGAAAGAAGAAAAACAGAAGTAGCTACAGTTTGTTACTGATGATACATTTTAATGCTTTTTTTATCTCGTAAGTCTCACTTTGTTCCATTCATAGTCATTATTGTGATGAATTTCTTGATATTACTGATATCTGTTGAGCATAATATAATGCTGATGATTTTGTATCCACAATTTCAGTTCATATCACAATCATCAGTAATCCTCCATCCAGATATCTCAAGCCGCATCATCTAAGGTAACGAGCAGTCCCTCACATGTATCTAAAGCAACCAGACCATGTCCAATATTCCATGGTAGTCGAACCATTCCTCACAAATCAGCGGTTAAACTAAGCCATTCCTCACAATTTTCAGTGGTTAACTAAGACCATTCCTCACAGTTCAGCCGTTAACCATTTTTCATATTCTACTAAGACGCACTACATTCCTCATTATAGGCAGTAGCTTTGCCCTTGATCTGAACTGTTTTCCAGTAGTTCAGTGGGCATATAAAAAGGGTTTGTGGAGCAGATGGAACTACCTCTTTATAATCTGCAGGAGGTTCATGGCAAGTGAATTTCACAATCAGTAATCAAAATTGTTTCGTCATGTCTCAGACTGGCTACATTTGGTCATTTCAGAGTGTGCACCAAAATCATGTGTGATGGCTTTTTAGCAATATTCTAATATATATTTTTGTTGGAATTATGGTATCTGTTACAGATATGGTTGGTTCAGTAATGGAATAATAAAAGATATTGTTATTGTGTCCCACTGTATATATATTCTGAGTATCAAATAACTTTCATGCTCTTCAACATACATATTGGAAGAACTAAGTATTTTGGTCAGGAGAAATACTCCTGTTTTCTATCTGACTTACAAAATTATTTGAATTATGCAAATTTAGAGGAAGAGAAGTGCTGTCATTTATGTAGGTGAGGGGAGAGTGAGTGTGTATCTTGACAGGAACCATCACAATCCCTCATTTATAGCCTTCTTTCCCCAAAGTCATAGATAGTAAAGAAATGCCCCATGAAAACCCATTTCTGCTCTGTTTACTTAACCCTCAGGTACATATATTTTTTTCTTTGTAAATATATTTTTAGCATGTTATCTTATACTCACATTTTTTTGTTCTTGTTGCATTTGTTTCTCATGTTTCTTAAATTTATCTGTTTATATATTTTGCCTTCAAGCCTTGTCTCACGCTCCCCTTGAAGATTGGCTCATGCTGTATTCAAATCACTCGCACTTTCATGGGCCTTTGACCCTCTAGACTTGCCTTGCCGTAAAAAAATGTCATTGTTTACATACATACATTTCTTTCTCATATCAGTCAGTATTTATAATGCACTGCAATTTTAATTCAATCAAATTTATACATCATTCTATTTTTTTATGGGTATTTGTTAAGTTCATAATATGTTGTTTGATATTTTAATAATCTGCTGTACCTTGTTCCTGATTGTTAATGTTTTTTGCATCTTTGTGACCAGGCATTGTGTATTTGTGAGGAGTGTACAGTAAGTGAACATTTAAAATAATGACTTAGTAAGAGAAGATAATGTAATGCTGTATTAGTCCAAATATAATATGTTCAGACCAGCGGTTTCTCTGTCCTGGCATCTCAACTTATGAACGTTATTTGAAATCGAGATGGTGTCACATTGTAAGAAAATTGATTACTTTCAGATAAGAATTTGTTATTCTATTTTCAAATGAAATCTTTTGTGAATTGAAACATACATTGTGTAACCTAGTATTAAAATTTCTCCTGCTTTTGAAAACAAGTCTTTATTTAATGAAGATTTAGAATTAGATTTATTTTACTGTATTACAGGAGAAACATTTACCCATATCAACTCTAGGCTCAGTGATAAGGATTACGTATGATGAGAAACGTAATAATGACAATAAGCACTGTAAGTAAACATGTCATGATTGTGCAGAAAGATGCATGAGTGGAGAATATTTTTCCTCAAACTGATCAATAATGATGAATAAGAAATAATAGCAGAAAAGAACAAGTAAATGGTAATGAAGACGAAAAAGTTTGATGTAATATGGAATACGATTGATGCAATGACACCTGATAAAAATAATTACAGATTTTTAAGCCTTTTGTCATTCATTAAATGGGTGTAAAAAAAAAATTCTTTGTGTATAGAGAAAGGAAATATAATATTCACCTGCTCTTGTAAATAGGTTTGTAATGCATATTATTGCTGAATATACACCATTTTGAATTATTTAATGAGTCGCAGTTGAAAAAAATTTATTTTTTACAATTCAAAAATACATATTGTCATGGTGATACAGGACCTTAAGTAATTAACTTATATAAGCATGCTGACGATTTTGTATGTCTATTTTATGCAAGTTGAAAGAAAAACTAAACCAATGGATTATATAATAATCTGATTATCACTTTGCTGACTAATCGTATTATGAGCATCATAAAAAACAGTATTGTGGGTGCCACGAGCCAGACAATATTGTGGGTGTCATAAGCCAGACATATTGTGGGTGTCATGAGCCAGACAGTATGTGCGGTGTCATGAGCCAGACAGTATTGTGGGTGTCACGAGCCAGACAATATTGTGAGTGTCATGAGCCAGACAGTATTGTGGGTGTCACGAGCCAGACATATATTGTGGGTTCATGAGCCAACACATATTGTGGTGTTATGAGCCAGACAATTCAGGAATATAAAGACTCAAGATTTATTTAGTGTCACATACGAATCATTTATTTCGCGTCATGTACGAACTGCCACATTATATTGCCCTTACTCAGCACTGTAATGTGACGTCAGCATGACGTTCGTTGTGACGTCATGAGTTGTACCACAGATCATTATGTTATAATTTTTTTTTTTCAGTTTATTAAGGCGACTACTAAAATGTCCACCGTGGGCACTTAAAATACCCCAAAGAAAAGTACTTCAAAATAACTGAGACAGTGTTAGACTACTGAAAATGATATCTTTTTGTGCTCTACCTAATTAAAATTGGTATCGATTCGCATTTCGAATTAAATATCAGCCTCTTTGAGAAAACACAATTGTGAAAAAAAAACGAAGTGAAACACTTCCAATTGGAGACAACTATAACGATTAAAAAAAACGTTTACGCATTGCGAACTTCTAATATTCCAAGTGTAACGAAAATATCCAGAAAGGAAAGTGTGGAATTATCTGTCTGGCGGTATCTGGAAGCTCTCGTTTAGTAGAGGGCGTGACAGCAAGTGTGAACTCAGGGACTCTGCTGAGTAGCCATAAAAGAGTTGTCATGTGTAAGGTGCATGTCTGTGGGATATTAATGTCTGTGTGGTATACGTATCTGCTTGTGTCTGTGTACGTGTGTTTGGATGGACAAATAGATGGTGACACCTGTGTGTTCTTGTGTGAAAAAAACGTATATGTATCCCTTCTTATCCTCCATATATATATATATATATATATATA